AATATTGTGCAAAAGCATCATGTTTTTAGTTACCAATGCCACTGTATTCACAGTCAGCCATGATTAATTTATCATGCAAAAAAAAAAAAGTGTCCGATTACAGGGGAGTTACTGAGTTCTAGAGAGGATTAGGATGGTTGTTGGTTAATGACTTGATGCTTGTTTTGTAATACACACACACACATTATATATATATATATATTATGTGTGTGTGTGTGTATTACAAATATATAATAATAATAATATTTTGTTTCAAAAAAAGATAGGTTAAGATTTAAAATGACAAGTAATTAGTTTTTAGGGCTGCACTGTGATCCTTAAATAGAGTCTTTTAATGTCATTTAATTATTCTTGTTCTAAATATGCCTGACAAGATGCAAAACACAATGCAAAATATTTAATATAAAAAATAAAGTTTGTTTTAAATTGATTATTGTAAATGCTATAAAAGTTCTTCAAAACCACATGTAAAATAAAATAGCTTTTATTAGGCTACTGATAGGTATACATAATTTTAAGCATATTTTTCAAAATTACTGTTGTTTTCTGTATGTGTAAAGCTTTTTAAATTTTTAAAATGCAACACTTACAGAATCACTACAATATAAAGTCTCTAATGAATATAATATTTTGTATTGTATTAAATTGCAACATAACTATGAAATTTGTTTTAAATACACAGGAGAGGACAGTCACATCGCAGATGAGCTGTTTAAGAAAGTGCGTATCTTGTGCTGGGTGATGACAGGGCCTAGTAATCTACAGTCAAAGGCTTGGCATGTGAAGGCAACATGGAGCCGTCACTGTAACATAGTGCTGTTCATGAGCTCTGAAGAAGACCGCAGCTTCCCCACAGTGGGCCTTGGCACAGGAGAAGGCCGTGACCAGCTCTACTGGAAGACCATTCGTGCTTTCCACTATGCTCTGAAGAACCACGGCGATGAGGCAGACTGGTTTCTCAAAACCGACGATGACACATTCGTCGTTGTGGACAACTTGCGCTGGGTCTTGTCAAACTACACGGCAGAGCAGCCCATATACTTTGGAAAGAGATTCAAGCCGTACGCCAAGCAGGGCTACATGAGCGGTGGCGCAGGTTATGTGCTCAGCAAAGAGGCCCTGAGAAGGTTTGTGGAGGGTTTTAACACTAAAGTGTGCACTCATACCACCTCAGTAGAGGATCTAGCGATGGGTCAGTGTCTGGAGAAAATGGGGGTGGTAGCAGGGGACTCCAGGGACACACTGCAACGTGAAACCTTCCATCCTTTCATTCCTGAGCACCATCTTACAGGAAAGTTCTCCAAGACCTTCTGGTACTGGAACTACTGCTTCTACCCAATTGTAGAAGTAAGTCAAACACTTTGATTTTTTGCACAGTTACACTAGCGTTCAAACGTTTGGGGTTGATACGTTTTTTTTTTTTAATGTTTTTGAAATAAGTCTTTTATGTTATCAGTTATTACAATTCAAAATAACGGTTTTCTATTGTAATTCTGTATATTTTAAAATGTCATTACTCCAGTCTTCAGTGTCACATGATCCTTTGGAAATCATTCTAATATGCAGATATAGTGCTTAAGAAACATTTTTTCTCCTTCTTCTTATTATTAGCAAACTTAATAGTTAATAGTGCTTAATAGTTTTGAGAAAATTGTAATTCATTTTTTTTCAGAATTCTTTGATTAATATGAAGGACAGGATTTATTTGAAATGGAAAACTTTTGTAATATTATAAATGTCTGTTCTGTTACTTTTGATTAATTTCATGCAAACTTTTGAATGGTAGTGTAGAATAAAATATGCACTCATTGTAATTTTTCCTAAGATATTCTATGTCCTTTGTGACATTTCTCTACATTCCACAGCTTCCATCTCCTACACACAGGAAGCAAATTAGTTATTACTTTGGTAATGACAGAAGTTAAACTAATTTTTTAAAAAAGTTTTAAGAACTTAAGTACCATCTATGCCTGAGAAGAAAAAACAATTAAAGTGTCAAAAGCAATTTTCCATTCAAGTAAGTATTTTGAGTATGAATAAAAATCAACAACATTGTTTGAGAAATATACTTTTAGATTGAAATTACCTTATAATTTTAGCCCTCTCATTTTTTTAAATGCCACGCTGAACTAGAAACTCCTTCAGGTGATTGCAAGTGAAACCAACAATGGATAGGTTTGATGGGGACAGCATTTGTCAATAGTTTTTCTTTCATGTACATGATGATGTGTTTCGTGACTAGACAGCTAATGACTAGCAATACAAAACCCAAGAAATTAACACAATTTTGTCCTGTCGTGGTCATCAAAGTGGCAACAAGAAAGGATATAAATGCTATTTCAGAGTTTATAATGTTAGTATAAAAAATAAGTATGATTAGGAATAGAATTGTGCAATTTCTTTCAGAAAAATTCCTTTTTAATACAAGTTAAGCTCAATCGAACAATGTTAATGACAGAATGACATCAAAGCAAAAAAGAATAAATCGGTTTATAGATAAATATCTGTTTATCCATTTAAATAATAATTGGTCGTTTATCCGATGCACCTATCGCACATGTGTGTGAGGATAATTGTTGATTAATGACAGAATGACAAAAAAATATTTTTTTCTTACATTTTTCTTTTAAAAAAAGCAAAAAGCAAAGTAAATTTAAGATCAGAAATGCAAAGCTTATTATTTTTAAAGTGCTTAAATTATTCTTCTGTTAAAACAATTTTTTAAGCTGTAAAGTTCTCTTTTTGGTCATTAGCAATTAAATTGTAAACTTTAATATAACTGGATGCATAAAAAGTTAGCAAGTGATTTTTTTCCCACACTAAAAATCATATTAACATACATATTATTTGTCTTATGGCTGCATTTTAATGTTTACAGATTGGCCACATTCATTTCAATTGAAAGTGCCACACTGTAAGCCAGAATTTTGCTTTTTTAAAGAAAGGGTGGACAAGTCAAAATTAATTTTCATAGTAATCAACATTATGACACATACGTGCTGTTGATTGAGCTTAACTTGTAATGAACCTAGAATATTCCTTTAATGCAAACTATCTGCGATCACATGGAAATGTAACAGACCAGCATCTCTTATATTAGTTTTTTTTTCTCTACAGGGCCCACAGTGCTGCTCTGACCTAGCTGTGTCTTTCCACTACGTAGACCCTGAGCTAATGTACACTCTTGAGTACTACACTTACCGTCTGAGGCCATATGGCTACCGACACCGCTACCAGCCTCCAGTGCCTGCTGTACTGTCTTTAGCTTTCCACACTGGGAAACCTACCACAGAAGCTCAGAGATTAGATGAGCGTGTTAATGAAAAGTCAATTCCAACAAACACCATGAATCCCAGAGCTGAGAAAGTGAAGACTACTGGAACAAGTCACAAAGTCACAAATGCTGCCCAGGGGAGAAACATAATGGACAGAAGCACTGCATGATTGTTTCTTCTTGTATAAATACAAAATGAACGCATGTAGCATTTTGAATCATCCAGACTGTGTACTGTGCAAATGGAATGGTGTAGTGGTTACAGGTCTGGGCTAATAACCAAAAGCTGTAGGTTCAAACCTTAACAATGAACAAATTTTGTCCTTATTGCTGTTGATCAAGTAACTTGACTGGTTGTGCCAGTAATAAGTCAACTGTAAGTCAATTCGAATAAGTGTTTGCTACTCCACGGATTTGTTAATACGGTCCCTGCTATTTGAATAAATTATTTTGCTGCCTTCTAGTCTGAGTACAGTAAAAGTGTCTGATTCACAAGCCATACTTCATATATTATGGCCAAAGTACATGAAGGACTTCAATAGTTTTATATTTCAACAGTGAGACAAAAATGAAAAGCAGAGTTTCATATGATGTTTTTTTGGGGGTTTCTTTAATATTTCTTTACTTGGAAAGTTTAGATGACCTTATTTTTGTTGTTGTGTTGTCTATGACTGTTACATTACTAAACTGTTTCTTTAAGGACATGCTGTGCTTTAATGATCTACTGATATCCAAAGCACTAACACTCAAAGTCAAACTTGAAGTATTAGTCACTTGTTAAGTATTAGTTGACATCAAGTTAAAATACATATAAGTTTGATGTGCATAATTATATACGCAGTTGGTCATGAAGCCTCTGTGTTTTGGCAAATGTAGCAAATTATTGCTGTGTACAGTTTTTTGCGGGGTCTAAGTCACTATATTTTATGCAGTTTTGAACGTTTAAGTAATAAAAGATTGTGAGATCAGATAGATAATTTTTTTTATTTACAAAAATCATGTTTTATACATTAGACAGCAAAAATAACAATAAATATATTGAAATGCTGGCGATGTAAGTGGATATGCAAATGTGGTGATATATCTAGGTAAATGTATAATCTGCAGTACAATGAAACAAATCACACCATAAGAAGAAATGTTTATTTGATTCATCTTATATAAATATTTTCTTTTGCTCTATCACTTTTGTAAAAAATTATGACTTTCTGTTGTTGCTCCAAAGAAATGTCTTGAAAAGAAGCTGTCATGATAGTGTGGGGTGGACCATTCACTGGATATGAAATAATTCATTTGCCTATAACCCACGACGAAACCTGCAACAAATTGTAAACAAAAAAAAATAATAAGTATATATATTTACAAGAAAAGCCAGTAATTTTGGAATAATAGGCAGACATGCTTTAGGAACAAATGTGCCGTTAGAAAGATAAGTGTTGTAATAGCTTCAGAAAGCCTGCAGATGGCAGAACAGCTTCACTGAATTGCTCACCTTAGTTTGCATTTGTTGAAGTTGTCTCCTCTTGCGCCTGTTTCTGGATAATCTTTCCTCCATGGACGCCCAGTAAACAAAAAAAAATAATAAGTATATATATATTTACAAGAAAAGCCAGTAATTTTGGAATAATAGGCAGACATGCTTTAGGAACAAATGTGCCGTTAGAAAGATAAGTGTTGTAATAGCTTCAGAAAGCCTGCAGATGGCAGAACAGCTTCACTGAATTGCTCACCTTAGTTTGCATTTGTTGAAGTTGTCTCCTCTTGCGCCTGTTTCTGGATAATCTTTCCTCCATGGACGCCCAGTTTCTGACAACACAAATACAGTAAGTCTGAGATGCTGAACAAATATCTGACAATGTTAAGCTTTGATATTTGTTGAGTTTGTCATATGTTTGAGGTTTAGCCCACACGGTTCAGTAAAGAGAATCGTTGCAAATGTGTACATTTAACTAAAGGTTTTCGTATGAACAACCAGTCAGACCCTGGTTTAAGTTTCACGAACCTTAAATTAGACATATAGGCTATATGCTTCATTTCGAGACGGATTTGACTAGAAGTAATAAAAACGTGCAGATTTTGATTCAGTCACCGCTTTAAGATCCAACGAATTTATTCAATAAATGATTCATCAGATTCAAATCGATAACTCGTGTGAATCATTGATCAATTAGTTCAAATAACATACTCAAGAATCATTTGTTCGTAAACCTCCTGGTGTATATTTTGATTCACTAAAAACCGACTCATAAGAGTCATTCGCGTGAGAATCAGACTGCATTGGTCAAGCTGTATGTTTTTGATTCCCTAAAAAGAACCGGCTCATAAGAGTCATTTGTTTGTGAATCGAACTAACGTTACTGGTCGCGCTTTAGGTTTGTTTATTTCGGGCAACCCGCGAGGACGTTTTTTTCAGAATCGTGTTCAACTCATACTAAACCCCAAAAAATGATTTCGTGTAGATGTAAATTGACATCAAGACGACGGTCATCTAAAGGTAACTTATGCCTTTCACAAACGACACTGAAATAAATAGAAAAGCTGTTAACTTACCAGGGTCAGTGCTTCGTCGACCCATGAGTCCAACAAAGATATCCTGCATTTCCCCTGAAAGACAACATATATTAAGTTTTCATAGATAATTTAAAACTGAGAATAGAAAGCACAAAATCCCTTCAAAATGTCTTACTTTTACGCTGAGGTGGTATATCATCTGTGTCTGGGGGAAAATGCATTCGCAAAACATTTTAAAAACATGTTTCAGTAGGAAACTGAAGTAAAATTTATATACAATTACAACAACAACAAAAATATCTATCCACTCACCGACGTTCCTGCGCCCCATTAATCCGACGAAACTGTCATAATCTATGTCATTATACCTCTTCTGCAAGTTATGAGCCGACAGCCGAAAACTTGGACTCTCCTGTGCATGAAATTAAGTTTTTATTATACAGCTCGGCCAAAACTACATATTTATAGCTTTTAGATTATCATAATCTGTCACTTACACCTGAAACTGATCTATGAGACTCTGACTGCTGACATCTCGATTCACTCCATCGGGTTTCCAGCACCAAAACCAAGAACAGTAACACCAGCCCACGGTACATCGTAACAGATAAGTCTGAGGAGAAAATATCTCAAAATAGTAAAGCAGTTTTTTTTTTCATAGCGTCCGTTATTTTTTATTTTTATTTTTTTTGCTAGACCCAGTAACATTTTAATGAAAATGAAAACACTAAGTTTCACCTCTACAATCCTAATTGCAGTTATACGTTTTTCTCTTACATTGGTATTCAGTATAATTTACCACTAAACCACCAGGAAGAAAAACCTTTGTTAAATCAATAATAATAAAAAAAAATTTAAATAAAAAAAAAATCTAAAACGATAATGTAAAATTGTAATATGAAATACAATTTACAAGGTATTGTACTTACCTAAGCTGAGGATAATGCTATGTGGAAACAGCTGAGTTACAGTTTGTGGTCGAGGAGTTAAATCCTTTTGTGATGGACTCTCAGACAAGAGACACAGAGACAGAGATTCTCTCCTGTCTGATTGTTAATGATAGCAACATGTGAGTAAATCCAATCTGATGTCGCAGTGTAGGTGTGGTTTAAGGGTTTGTAGTCTGCATCAGCGATGACCACGCAATTGAGATCCTGACATCAGAGGCGTGAGGCATTTCTTAAAAGGACAAACCATAGCCTATTTTTGTCAAACCCCTTTCATCAGTTACTCAGATTTAAATTTTTGCAACTTTAATCTCATATCTGTAACTTTGCCAGATTCCCCCCCCCCTTCAAGGTTACAGAGTACCAGGCTTGAATGAAAACAGGTCTCTCGCATCTGTGGGTCAAACTCAAACATTTGCGTGAGAGCATGTCTAAATGTCATGTTTGTTGACTCATTAAGATTATACTGATATCTATCTGAATGCTACTTTTCTCTGCTAAGTAGGGCCTTATTGTCGTATTTTCCTCCTGACTGCCTAATTGGTGCTGTCACTAGCGGGAATGTAATCTCTCAAGGAAGCAATTACACAGATGGAGCGGTGTATGATGAGAACGGTGTCTCACGGACTCTATGGACATCTTGAGGGTGATCTAACTGGCCCGGCGACATGCAGGGTTGATTAGTGGGAACATCCATTAGTTGCTGCCCACACTCAGTATGCGGCATGCAAAGGGCAGCTGTGCTTTGAAGTTTCTGTTAGAGAACAGATTTGATCAGTTCATCAACAGAAACCTTTGATAGCAACAGCCCAGACAGTACTAACCCACTTCCACATCAACATAATAAAGCCTGAGACTCCGACACAAACGTCAACGTCATTACATTTTTTTTCCATTGTTGTTGACTTGATTGTTTTCATCATCATCGTCTGTGAAGTTATCTAATTGAAAACTTTGACATGCTGACCTGTTGAGTGTGAAGAATGTGTTTACCAGTGCTGCGCACCATTTAACTCTAAATTTACAATGGCTTTTAAATTCCATTTTATTGTATAGCAATTATAATTTTATTCATATAACATCTAAATTTTTTAACTTGAAAAGCGAAGTATATACCTTTCAATATCTTCTCAGTGGATTCCTCTTCCTGTAACTCCAATTCTATTTGCTGCTGTTTAGTTTTTAAATGAGAAACCAAATACTGTATTTTCCTCAGGTTAAAGTGATTTACACAAGTAGGACTTGTCAATGTAAAATGTAAATATAAACTTTTCTCTTCTGTGAACACTTAACTGCATCCTGCTGTTCTTGTATTATTATGCATGATGTTTAAAACATTGTATTGCACTTCTTGTGTTGTCTCCTTAAGATGAATTGCTTGTTGTATTCCTAGTTTGGATAAAAGCATCCGCTAAATATGCAAATGTAAATATCAATGGAAACTGCTGCACAGTTTGTTCAAAAGTCTAGTGCAGTTACCGGCCTGAGAATGTTGACACAAATGGTTATGACATTAGAGACTGAACTAATAATTTCATACTTTGCCTTTAAACAATGTCCAAAGACCCTTGCTCTCTGCCACTTCATATTCTGTTTCAAAGGAGACATGGAAAAGCATGCATGATATTTTTCTAGTGTTGATAGGGGAGAATAAATATCTGGAAGCAAATTACTTTGCAAATAGGGGGTATGCTATAAATGATCGTCAAGAGCAGCTGTTGATTGGGAGCCCTACAGAGAAAGCAGACATACATATGTTGGGAATAATGTTTTAAATAGGTATAATAATGTTTACAGTCCAAATTTTAAAATTCCACATTTGTTAAAACCTGAGGTGGCAGTATCTGTTTGTGCTTGCGTAAGGCTTATTTAGCATTTCGACAAACAATAGAGCCAGTACTCTACCCGCATGCCAATTATTTTTCACTGCAAGGGATGTTGGTGAATATGCTGTACCTCTACTATGCAAACCATGTGTGTTTTATAATGCTTTTGATGCAGATGTTTGGACTTCATCGCTGACTGTGTTGATCCACAGGAGACAGTCACTGCCAATGTTCTATGCAGACCAAGCTATGACTTGCAGGGACATGTCGTCTACAGCAAAGGGCAGGTCGGAGTTCCAAATGGCTGGCATTCCCAAAGGTTAGCGGATTAGCATTAAGATGTTTTAGTAATGAGTCCCAACCCATATATGTCTCTTCCTGCTCTGCGTGGATCGCGCAGCGGGTCAGATTAAGGATATGGGGATGGATGGGAGACAGATCTGACAGCAGTAGGGGAAGAAAAAGTAATTAATTGCATTCTTCCATAATTAATGACTTATTCTTTCCCTTAATCACAAAGCCACATCCTGGGAGTATCAATGAGAAACACCATAGGGCTGTTTATTTGGAGCACGCTAGGGTTGAGGGCCCCTGCTGCTGAGAGGATGATGACAGGAAGAGGATGCCATAGTGGTAAACTCATGACTGTATTAGATATCATTTAGAACACTCAAAATGTGAGAGGAAGCTATGTATTGCTGCCAAGGAATATTTTACTGCAATTATCTTAGGTTGTCATCTAAAGTATATATTTACTAAAGGATACTCATGAGAAATCATGAATCGGTGCAACCAAGATCAGTCCTGATGTTCAGGTTTCTATTGATTTCCTATGAGACAGAACAGCTTTTTTTTTTTTTTTTTTTCTTAATGTGAAATGGGGTAGTTACATTATCAATGTCTTCAGTCACTTTTGATCAATTTAATGCAACCTTGCTGAGAGCAGTTACTTTGTTTGTGGCAGCTGGTGTTTGGAAATCATCTTATCTGTACCTGCTAATGTCATGAGCCCTTCACACTTTTTTGTATGAGTTGGTTATTTTAACTCTTAGTACCGGCTCACAGTGAGCAAAGCTTACACTAGAATCAGAGTTTATTCCCTTTACTGCTCATAGAAACATCTTTCTCAGGGTTGCATACAACTTTTCAAAAGGTCTGGTCTCTTTTTTGGGGGGGGGGGTTTGATAAGTTCCAGAGATTTTCTTGTAATACTGCGTACATGATGTTATGTTTTTCTGTGCATGGAAATAAATGAGTTTTGACACATGATGGAGTGACTGACAAGTCAGATTACTGGTCTCAGCCATGTTCAGGATCAGCAGGGTGTTGGCAACGCCTCTGTGCAGACCAGGACAAACACAGCTTAAAAGATCCATAGCATGTTTAATGGAGACTGGAAGGGTGACTGATGAGAAGTAATCACTATTGAGCAATATGAAATATGATGATTAGATTTGCTTCAGAATAGTATATTATACTGGTGCATAAATCTGTTCCATTTCAAATATACATATGATAAAAATCATTACATTTTTATGCTCTAGTTGTAATGTGGATGAGTTATATGCTTGCTGATACGGCTACAAATTGCACAGCATGGCAAAATCTCAGCCTTTGTGTATGACACGAAGAAATACAAATGACCTTACTGGAGTTATTGGTATCTAGATCAGGGATTTTCAAACAAAGTCCAGGGGGGGGACCCAAAAAGTTTTTTTTTACAAATGTATTTTTAGGACTGTAGTGTTTTCACTTAACTGACTTATCTCATTTCAAAGTTAACATTTTCAAGATAGAATGAAATATTTTCAACATTAATGATTTTAACATTCACTTTCATCAAATCTAAAAGCTGGTCAGAAATCATGAGATGAATTGCAATTATTATTGTATTGACAGTATACGTTTTTTTAAGAGTAGAAAAAAACTTGCATTTTTGCATATTTTGTGTCAGTATAATGATATTAAAGCTGCAGTCCGTAAGTTTTGCCTCTTTGTCGCCATCTCTGTTTGAAAACCTGTAATTGCAGCTGTGTGCGGAATTATCTTCCTTGCGTGGGTTGTGCGCCGGCACGGCTCCAGCGCGGATTAATCTAATGTTTTGAGGAGTATGTGTGGAAGGCAGTCGTTTCATAAACACATAATACTTTCTGGATTACAATCCGCCATCAAAATGATATACATTTAATTATTCTAGCTGCTGTGAGAAAAGGCTATAAACGATCGGCCACCTGCAGGATCCTCACATGCGATAGCCTGGTAGCCGGGACAACTTCTTTGTTTACAGACGTGATGTAATGACGTGGCAGCATGCTCGAATTTCCCGCGAAAACCTACCCGTACCACTCAAATTA